AGTTCAAGCCAGAGCGCATGCTCGACGAAAACTTCGAGAAGCTGCCAAAGAACGCCTGGAAGCCATTTGGAAATGGTATGCGAGGCTGTATTGGACGGCCGTTCGCATGGCAGGAGGCCCTCCTAGTCGTTGCAATTTTGCTGCAGAACTTCAACTTCCAGATGGACAACCCCAGCTACGACCTCCGCATTAAGCAGACACTTACCATCAAGCCTAAGGACTTCCATATGAAGGCTACCCTGAGAGAGGGCCTCGACCCCACGCAGCTAAGCACTACACTCAGTGGCTCTGCAGTTGCGCCGACAGAGACTGGCGCCGGCAGCCGAGATCGCAAGCCCAAGGTCGTACCGGTGGATGGCAAGCTGAAGCCAATGCATGTGTTCTATGGCAGTAATACGGGAACTTGTGAGGCATTCGCCCGCAGGCTTGCCGATGATGCCACTGCGTACGGATACGCTGCGCAGATAAGCTCTTTGGATTCGGCGATGCAAAATATCCCTAAGAACGACCCCGTGGTCTTTATCTCGGCTTCCTACGAGGGACAACCTCCAGATAACGCGGCTCACTTCTACGAGTGGCTCAATGGGCTGAAGGACAACGAGCTGGATGGTGTCAACTACGCTGTCTTCGGCTGTGGCCATCATGATTGGTCGTCTACCTTCTACCGTGTCCCCAAGGCTATCGACGAACTAGCCAAGAACAATGGAGCTAGCAAGCTCTGCGATATTGGTCTTGCCGACGCAGCAAACTCAGACATGTTTACCGATTTCGATGGCTGGGGCGAGACCTCATTCTGGCCCGCTGTCATGGCCAAATTCGGTGGAGTTAGTCCTGACAATGCCACTAAGCCGAAGTCTTCATTGCAGGTCGAAGTGAGCTCGGGTATGCGGGCATCCACTCTGGGTCTCCAGCTCGAAGAGGGCTTCATCATCGAGAACCAACTTCTTACGCCACCCGGAGCCCCAGCCAAACGAGTTGTTAAGTTCAAGCTGCCGTCGGACATGACCTACCAGTGCGGTGATTACCTTGCGGTGCTACCCGTGAACCCAAGCTCAGTGGTCCGTCGCGCAATCCGCCGCTTCGACCTCCCCTGGGACGCCGTACTCAAAGTCCAGAAGCCTTCAGGCTCAACAGCCTCCCCCTCGATCCCCATCGACACACCGATCTCAGCCTTCGAGCTCCTATCCACCTACATTGAGCTTTCCCAGCCTGCCTCAAAGCGCGATCTCAACGTCCTAGCGGACGCCGCCATCTCAGACGCAGAACTCCAAGCCGAACTACGCTACCTCGCCTCCAGCCCTAGCCGCTTCACCGAAGAGATCGTCAAGAAGCGCGTCAGCCCACTAGATCTCCTAACCCGCTATCCTGAAGTCAAACTCCCTATCGGCGATTTCCTCGCAATGCTCCCACCCATGCGCGTGCGCCAATACTCCATCTCCTCGTCACCACTAGTCGACCCATCCGAATGCTCGATAACATTCACCGTACTCAGCGCCCCGGCACTCGCCAATGCCACCACCGAAGACACCGAACGCATCGAACAATACCTGGGCGTGGCATCAAATTACCTCTCCGAGCTCCAAGTCGGCGAACGCGCACACATCACCGTTCGCCCCTCACATTCAGGCTTCAAGCCGCCAGTGGACCTCGAAACACCGATGATCATGGCCTGCGCGGGTAGCGGTCTCGCACCCTTCCGCGGCTTCGTCATGGATCGCGCGGAGAAAATCCGCGGCCGTCGCAGCTCACCCGACTCCGAGGAGCTACATGATAACGAGGCTGTCAAGCCTGCCAAGGCAGTTTTGTATATCGGCTGCCGCACACAGGGCCAGGACGATATCCACGCTGCTGAACTTGCGGAGTGGGCTGCGCTGGGCGCTGTCGATGTTCGCTGGGCGTATAGTCGGCCCGCCGATGGAAGCAAGGGACAGCATGTTCAGGATGTCATGCTTGAGGACCGTGCGGAGCTAGTGGAGCTGTTTGATGAAGGTGCGAATATTTATGTTTGTGGTAGTACTGGTGTTGGTGCTGGTATTCGCGAGGCTTGCAAGCAGATGTATCTCGAGAAGCGTCGTGCCAGGCACGCTGAGCTTAAGGAGAAGGGGGAAACTCCGCCTGGTGCTGAGCTTGACGAGGATCAGGCTGCTGAGCAGTTCTTTGATAATTTGCGGACGAAGGAGCGGTATGCTACCGATGTATTTACTTAGTTTAGCGTCTTTTTGGATATTGGATTGGATTTATTTGTATTTCATCGTTCACAACACATGGAATCCGAGACCTTGTGACATTGACGCCAAAAATGACTGCTTTCAGGATAAAAACGAAGGAAGAATAGTAACAATAATAATAACGCCAAGATATCATGATTGGTTGCCAGAATCCCGAGGCATTAGCACCCAACCAATCAGAATGCAGTTCCTGAAGAACCCGGGGTTATTCCCACGTGACCGTAAAACTTCAACACCGGTAGCCAATCAGATCAAAGGATGAGATGCCAGGCCGATGGGAGGGACGAAGATAGAAACTTCTTTTAATATTGGAGTGTCTCGGCATGTTCAATTTGAGATTAATGTATTAAAAGGGAAGCCGTTCTCATTTATATACTGTGAGTCTGACCATCTATCTCATATATCATATCCCGAGCCCTCATTGGACGCCAATGCCAAATTTGCGTTAATACCGAGTTGGATGGCGTGATAGAGTCAAACTAGTATCACACCCGGGATATCCCCATTTTCGACGGCTCGGCCGAGATAAATTCGGACGTTAAAGAGCGACTATATACCCAAATCTCCCTCAAATATCACACCATGCCGCAGATTAAAAGCATAGCCATCATCGGGGCCGGCCCAGCTGGCGCCATTGCAGTCGATGCACTAGCACAAGAGAAAACATTCGATGTTATCCGTGTATTCGAAAGACAGGAGAAAGCCGGCGGATGCTGGTATGTTACTCTAAATATATTCACCTATTCCCAACTCTAATAAAACAACAGGGTATCACGAGATGACGAGCCGCCTCAGCAGTTCGACTTTGATGGTCTATCTGCCCGAACAGCAGATGCGCCTCTGAAAATCCCAGAGCACCTCCCGTGCCGGACGCCTGTAGTCTCCCAAGATCGTTTCACGGACTCTCCCGTGTACCCGACGCTAGAGACTAATGTGAACGCGGGAGCCATGTCGTTCTCTCAAGAGGAGATTCCTACAGTTCGATCGCAGTGGTCGATCGAGCGTCATGGTGCAGACACGCCTTTCCGGCACCATTCGGTCATCCAGAAGTATATTGAGGACTTGTTTAACCGGAAGGGGTACCAGGATCTTGTTCAGTACAATACTACTGTTGAACGCGCGATCAAAGATCCCAACACCCTGAAATGGGTGCTTACTTACCGCCGGACGGAAGTTCTGGATGGTGCCAAGTCGGATTACTGGTGGTCTGAGGAGTATGATGCAGTTGTGGTGGCTTCGGGCCATTACGCAGTGCCGTTTATTCCTATGATCCCTGGTTTGAAGGAGTTTGCTGCGAGATATCCTGGTAGTGTTGAACATACAAAGCATTACCGCGGGCCTAGGAAATATCAGGGAAAGGTAAATAAAGGTTCCACGATATTGTTCGACCACCCCGCTTACATATCGCAGAAAGTCATCACTGTCGGAGCGTCTGTTTCTGCCGCTGATACGGCAGTGAGCCTGGTTGATAGTGCTCAGACACCAGTCATTGCCGTGGTTCGTGGTCGTTACAACGCCTATTTCGGAGATCTCGCTTTCCAGCACCCTAAGATCCAGCGTCGCCCGCCAATCTCACACATCACCAGTAATGACCAAGGCGAACGGACCGTGCATTTTGAAGACGGTACCTCTGAAACCGGTGTCGACCATCTCATTTTTGGAACTGGCTTTAGCTGGACCCTGCCTTTCTTACCTCAGGTTGCCATGCGTAACAATCGTGTGCCGGATCTCTACCAACATGTCTTTTATAGACATGATCCATCCCTAGTTTTTATCGGCGCTGTAAGTCTCTCAAACCGAAGAAGAAAGATTTCCAAAGCAAAAACTAACAAAAATACCCTTAGGTTGGTGCTGGATTGACCTTCAAAGTCTTCGAATGGCAAGCTGTCGCTGCCGCACGCGTTCTAGCCGGCAAAGTAAACCTGCCCTCGATCGCCGAGCAGGAAAAATGGGAAACCGACCGTATTGCAAAGAAGAGCGATGGTCCCGGGTTCACAGTCCTCAACCCCGAATTCGAGCCCTACTTCGAGAGCCTCCGCGAACTTGCGGGAGAACCTCGTGGTGGCGTAGGGCGACGTCTGCCTCGGTTCGAGCAGAAATGGCTGGCTGATTTCGACGAAGGCCATGAGCGCAGAAAGGAAATGTGGCGGCGAGCCAATCAATCCGCTCGATTGTAAATATGAACGTAAGGGTTATTGCTGTCAAGGGGTGTTACTCTCGAGGGGGTAAAGGAGTACGAGTACTTCATATTGCGTATTCTGTAGATAGAACGACGTCCAACATACTCCGTACATAGATCACAAATAAATACTTAAGCAAGGAGAACCCAAATGATTCCCACTTTCCCCTTTTGTCTCATGTTAGCACCAATTGACCATTTAAATAGTCCAATGGGGCCCTTTAGGATCAACGAATGAGTCCATCCCTACAGCTGAATATGTTTAGTTCGACTCCACTTCTTAAGCCAATATCTCCCCAACCTACGGCAAATAGGGGCTTGGCACTTTTCCCCCGGTGTTCAGGAGTTCCCTAAAAAGAGAGAGCTTGGGACTATTTACGATTTTCATATGCCCTTAAAATCCATTTCCTTTCCCTTTAAATCCCACCGATCATCCCTTCCCTCTGCGAACGCCGTCGAACCACATATCTTTCTCTCTCTCCACGAACCACAATCGTCTGCCCATCCCCGCTCTAAATAACAGCTAAAATCTTGTTCCGCATCGCGTCGCGAAATCTCCCGCACCGGATCACCCCGGCAAGCGCAAACACACCATGACACCTCCCATCAGAAACAACTCCAACGGCACGCAATTCACACAGCCGGCTGAATGTTATAACTCGCGCGACGCGGTATCGGCCATGCCTTCCAATATCGAATATTATAATCAGGTCCCGCTATACCAGACAAAAGACAACTACCGAGATATGAGGGCGGTCTTGCAGTCTTGCTGTTCGAATGGGGTGTGGATTTCGGAGGATCCGGATCCTTGCACGGTGATTTGTGATTCGACCTCCTCGGCTGAAGCTAAGAAGGTCATGTACTGCTTAAATGCTGAGCAGGTTGTTCATGGGACAAAATTGGAGAAGACTTCTGGGGCAGTCAGGCGTCCCGCGGTGGGATGGGTGTCTTTGATTATTGGGGGAATGCTTTTGTCTGGGATGTTTATTTGATGGGAATAGAGGGGTGTTGGTTTTTGTTGTAGTTTGAGATACCCCATTTGCGATTTATGGAGTTGGTTTGATGAGATGTGAATATATTGCTGTAGATACTGCTGGGAAGCTACTATATACGCAAGAAACTTGTCGATATATAACTATCTATATTCAATTAATATGACTTAGGATGGGTCATTCTTCTCTATACTAATTACTAGGAAATAACTATAAGACTTCTTGGCAAGCCCTAATCAACTTGGCAATAACAAGCATTTGATGCATGGGCACGTCAAATAAACAAGCACTTTCATCTCTGCAATGCAACCCACTCGCCGAGTGTGTGCGTATGTAGGAATATACATACCCGAATTCCACCATTTAGCCTATTCTTCATCAAATGCAACTCGAAAATACCCGAACATGTCCCCAGATTAGCCACGGAGAATCTCCGACCCCACGTTATATCCCCGCCATTATTCAAGGTAACCGTCACATCCCACGTGTAGCACAAGTTAGTTATGTACAACACTCCCAATTGATAACAACCCCCCCCAATCCCACAAACCAAAACCCATACCCAACAAACCCACACCAAAAGAAAATGGACTCCGTCAAAGGCAAAGTGTACGCCGTAACCGGCCTGGGCGGAATCGGACTCGCTGTCGCACGCCAACTACATTCCCAAGGCGCCCTCCTCTCCCTGGCAGACCTAAGCGAAAAAGTCCTCTCAACAGCCCGACAGACCATCGAAACAGAATCCGGTGTCTCAACAACTTCAACAATCACAACAACCGCATTGGACATCAGCAATGTCACCGCCGTACAAGATTGGATCGCCGGCACGGTGTCGCACTTCGGGCGATTGGACGGCGCAGCCAATATGGCCGGCACTATTGGCAAGCAACACGGCACTGGTAAATTCGTCGACCAGGATGACGCAGAATGGGATATGTTGATGCGTGTCAATGTCACCGGGTTGATGTATTGTCTGCGCGCGCAGCTGAGAGCGATTACTGCCACTGCGCCTGGGGGAAGGGGAGCATTGTTAATGCGTCCAGTATTCAGGGGATTAAGGGGTTTGCGTTGCATGCTGCTTATTCGACTACCAAGCATGCTGTTTCTGGGTTGACGAGGTCTGTTTCGAAGGAGGTTGGGCCGGATATTAGGGTTAACGCTGTTGCGCCGTGAGTATTTATGTGTTTGGTTGCTTTTTTTTTTGGTGAGAGCGTTGGCTAATTGGGTTGTGTTAGTGGTTCGATTCAGACGCCTTTGCTGGAGAGGGCGACGGAAATTCAGGGTGGAATTACTATTCCACCAGTTACTATCCCGCGCATCGGGACGGGCGAGGAGGTTGCTCAGACAGTTGTTTTTTTGCTCAGTGATGCTTCGTCGTATACCACTGGACAGATTGTCAGTGTTGATGGTGGGTGGGAATAAGGTATTGGATCCAAAGGCATGTAGCGAGGTTGAGGGTTAGGGCATGAATTGTTGGGTTTAGCGCCATGGCTTGATGTGTTAATGACATGCATTGATGATGATGAACGGAATGAAATAATCGCTAGATGATAAACATAATACCGGGACAATCAAACGCCAGCGCTATGATATGAGTAGAATCGCTGAAAACACGAAGAAAAGAACAGGAGGACATTGTTATGACCATATGCACACCAATAAACCTATAAGTAGACATTAGCATAGAACACATAAACATTGCACAGTCTGCCCTTACCGAAAATGACCATCAGATACCCCCAGCCGGGAAGTTGAGGTCCATAAACGAAGGCGGCACTGCTTGTGGCATTTTGGCCTCCAGCAGGCACCGGCCACCCATCCTCATAGTTCAGATAGTTCCAGCCGAGCTGAGCTTGCTGCGAGAACAGTTAGTTCAAATACCAACCCGACAACAAAGACACAATTAAGACTCACCCCATGCTTGAACCCAGTCGACGTATTCAAGTAATGATAATAGAGAATATCGGGCATGGAATCGTTCTTCCCACCCACGACACCCAATCCACCAGGAGCATACACAACCCCATGATTGGAACCATAAACCACCGTGCCACCTCCATCAAGCAACGATTTCCCCTTCCTATCCTCAAAAGGCCCACGCACATCCTTCGACCTTCCAACGCGAATACTATACTCCTTCCCACGCGCAGGGAATTTCTCCTTGAAATTACAACAATTCCCATAACTAAACCAAAGATAATAAAACCCCTCTCGAAAACCCATCCACGGCCCCTCCTCAGGCTTAGACTTCGCACGCGGGATAAACGTCAACTGCACAGCATCCGGCGCATCTGCATCCTTAACAGAAAGCAAATCATCCGCCAGCGGAACCTGCCATATATCCTGCCAGAAGCTTCCATAGTTGAGATAGGTCTGACCGGAGTCCTGATCAACGCTCACAGACGCATCAATGGCATTCGTAATCGTGTACGGCCACACCTCGGACCCAGCGCCTTCGCCCGTATTAATGACGACGCCGTGATCTGTCCAGGGACTGCCGTCAAGGGCTGTTGTCGTTGCGACGCCAATCGCGCTGTTGCGGGACCCTTTCACGCTTAGCGTGTAGTAGCAGTAGAACATGCCGTTTCTTTCGATTGTTGTTGGTGCCCAGGGTCGTGACTGGTTGCCTTTTGGGATTATGCTGTCGCCCGCTAGAACTGTGCCGAGCTGTTCCCATGGACCGGATAGGTTGGCTGATTTGAAGATTGGGATGTTGATCCCGCCTTTGAAGAGGTAGTAGTGCTCATCGTAGATGATGATGTTGGGGTCGTGGGCTGCGATGTTTCCTGGATTTGCCAGTGGGAATTTGTCTGTTGTTTGGTATACTTGTTTCGCGTTGTGTCCTAAGTCTTGGGCTGGAACGGCCCCCGCAAGTGAGGCTGCGATCGCGATGATTATTAAGAGGAATGGGGGGGTGATGCATCTTCGAGATGATTATGTACATTGAATTATGTGCGATGCGGATGCAGAGATTATATGAGGGGAATTGGCCTGGCTGGCCGGGGAATGTGGAGTTATCAGATCGTGATACACATGGCTCTTCAGTTTTTCTTCAATGGATGATTGAATGGTCAATGCAGTGAAAGGGGGAAGAGGGAAGGTAGAGTAGAAACGAGGACAGGAGAATTGAAAGCGAGGGAGAAACAAAACACATGGTATGAATATGCAAGTGGCAAGGGAAACAAAAAAGAGAAAACAAAAAAGAAGCACAGCCTTCGAGCCTCATCCAAGTTAATTGCAAAGCCAAGTGTTTTAGGGGGCTTTGGCGGCTATATTTGGAATGCTACCTGATGGTACCTAGCACCAAGGCTATTCTTTGCCTTATACCGAGGTACCTCCAGGTACTAGACCCGCAACTCTCAAGGCACCCAGATTTCTGATGGACTTTCGTTGACTTTGCATCTTTATTTGTTGATTATTCTTCATGTCTCTTGTTCTCTTGTTTTTAGTATTGCTTTGTGCAAATCAGCCTGTGCCATATGACATATGTTGTGGATGTACATACAATAATTGAATATCGTCCCCACAATAGCTAGAATAATGATCAGTGACCAATAATATACTTCACGTTAGAAGGCAAGGATCTTTACAAACACAACGCACAACTGTCAAAGCTAGCTCGGCACTTGCGAGTAAGGGTGAACATATGCGACTGTGCTTTCTTCTCTGAAGTGCACCCCTTGCATGCCGTCAATGCTGATATCTCCGATCATGATCTCATGGTGGACACGACTGATTGACGACATTCATGATTACGCAAGATGTCGATGACCGCTTTCTTGACATTTACTATGGGTATTCCGTGAGTAAGTTCAAATATATACAATGGCAGTGGCATAGCAAATGCAGAAAGATCAGACATATATCGTATAGCGTCTGTATAAAATGTCAAACCCCGCTCGAACCGCCCTGTTCAACAGGGAAACGTCATGCTTGTCAGATCCTCCCAATCGAAGATCTCTAAGAAAGGATCGAACTCGCCAGGCGGCTGGAAAGTCATGGTTAGCACGAAGAAGACGAGGACGAAGGATGACGTGGAACTCACTATCACGCCGGGTTGCGGCGGTGGATGCATCCCATTGGGATCAAATTCGGGCTGCATCACAGGTGTCATTGTGGGAGCCGCCATAAATGCAGCCACCTGGTTGTTCTTGAAATTGCCCATCCCCTTGTCGCCGAGGTGGTCGCAGTTCATATGGCGGGTGAAGAGAATCTGCGCAAATGATAGGACCCGCTCGACAACCTGCTGCTTGTACATAGTTGCCTGTGTCGGCCAGAGTCGGGATTTGACTAGTGCGACGATCGTTGAGAGGAAATAATAGTCTTTTGCTCCCTTGGTCATTAAAATGGAGCGCTCTTCCAGGGCGATCAGAGCTGTTTCTACGAGTGATAGGAGCGACTCGGGGATACCGGGTATATTGTGGAGAATAAAGGTTGATGAGATGGGGTGGGAGGGAGCAGCTGCAAAGTATGAGTTTGGGTTCTCGTGGTCAAGTATTGAATCGCAGGCCAAACTTACAGTTGTCGAATTCGGTTGTGTGTAGCAATTGGCAAATAGAAATATAGGCTTGGATAGTCCATTCACCAAGCATAGATAGCGATAGAGTTCGCGAGATCTCGTGTACCCGGCGCTGGGTGGACAGTATTCTGATCGCAGCATCCAAGCGAGTACGCGCGGAGGGAGCAAAGAGTGATTCTCGCCGTGCTTCAATGGCGAAAGGGGTATGGACAGACAATAAGGACTGGGAAAGTTTGGTCTCAATCAAACCTTTCCACAATGTTACTTTGTGCTGGGTGACGATGTCATTGGGGTCTGCTATCACCCACGTAGGAATCCGAGAAAGATGCCGGGTGAGCTCACTGTCTAGGCGCTGAATATCCTCATATCGACAGCTGATCCGTGGGGAGTGCATGAGAGAACATGCTTGAAGTCGAAGAGATAGCGAGCGACTCATGATAGACTGGAAAGATGAGTCGGTAACTTCACTCAGTGGTCGACATTCGGGAACTTCAGTACTGTTCTCGTGGATGTCGTCATCGTATATGTTTAGACCCGGAGCCACATCATAGTCGAAGCTTTGTACTGACGGTGGCATTCCCCGGTCAAGAGCAATCTGCAGATCCAGTTCCACAATGGTTGTCCATATTCGCCGTCGCATCTCCTTATTGAATACGGAGATCTGTGTGTACCGGCTGGGGTCGCGATGGTATCCTGCCATCATTGCTTGCTTGACCAATGTACTGGTTGTGAGCCAAGCCTGGCTGCGCCTCATTCCGTGGGAGTTATGTGCCAAAATCAACAGAATAGAGAGTCGCATTGATGTGATCTCAGGACGCTTCGTGTGAAGATTCTCGATCCATTTCCCTGCGTGCAGCGTCCACTCCACTGCAGACTGGCACTTGAGTTCGCCCGCACTTTTTGACTGCAGACTAGCAAAATCTGCAAGGTTCCATGCGCAAGAAAGGACCAACAATAATTGAACTGCAAAGGCAGCAGATATTGAAGCCGGGCTGTCTAACATGGCCCAGAATTGCTCAAGTTCTCGTAAGAAGGATGGAACGTGAAGAATGCGGTGAGTGGACTCTATATAAGTGATGTACAACCCAACCAGCTCATCAACCACACCACGCGAGGGCATCATGCTAATTAGTGAAGCGGTAGTAGGGTCCGGAAAGGGCCGAGTGATCACCATAACTTTGAATAGGCCGCGCTTAATCCTTCTCAGGTCCGGCTGAAGTTGCGCGAAAACCGGGGTAGAGAGCCTGATCTCCTCTGCAAACGATCTTATATCCGGAAACTGTGAATATGTCAGCATCCGTATTTTGATTGCCATTGTTAGCAAATGGAAACTGGAGCGGGGGACAGACCTGTGCTACTAGACTGGCAAAAATGCCTGACCCGCTAAACCGCGTTTTAGTTTCACGGCCCCTCATCATCATGCGAGGAGCGAGGTCGAGCTGGTCCGTAGGTGACAACGGGTCCTCTTCTTCGTCAATGTGCACATCGTCGACCTGCGACCGTGCCCGCAAACCATGCTCCGATACGGGGGCCGGACGCTTGGGACGCTGTAGAACACCCGTGTTCAGATAAGTTTCTTGATTAACAGCAGCCTTAGGAGCGCCGAGAACAGTTTCCAAAAAGCAGTCCTTTCGCTCCCTATCGTGTGGTCCACCTCTGTAGGGAGGTGCAAGAGCATGGCCTGAAAGGCCATGATACTGGTGATGCATTGGACCGCCGGCCATAGCCATACGAGGTGGATCACTAGTTGGGAAAGTTTCCGTCCGAGTTGACACCGTCGGTATCCCCGAATCCGGAGGTGTCTCTATTGGCGTATCTCTGGACATGGATACCGCAGACCCTCGGTCGGAGGTAAATGCAGTATTGGTGACAGTAGTGGGCTGCTGCCATAAAAAGCCATCTTCATATGTGCATTTATTCGGGGTTCTGCTTTTCAAACACCGACTGCAAGTTGGATACTCGCGATCGCATCGCAACTTCCGCGTGCGACATTGGGTGCACGCCATTGTACGGCGACGGCGCTTGCGCACACGATCGGGCTGAATATTGCCTTGAATATCCATCTCGGGTGTTGAAGACAAGCTTATACTTGGAAAAGATCTTACATCCGAGATGTAAGGAAAGTCTCGTGGAAATTGGCTTCAGCTCTCGGCTTACGTTGTCCCGCTCGGGGCCGTAGAACTTCCTAATCCGGAAAGTCTGACCGACGTGGGATTTTGATTTTGATTTTCTTTTCTCCCGCTCGTTACCTCGCTCAATGGACGATGAATAGGACATCTCTTTTCTTTTCTTTTCTTTTCTTCTCTTCTTTCTTCACGATCCCCTGCATACTCCCTTTAGTATATACTTTCTCAGACCAACAATGTCCCAACTCCGATGGTTCCGTGAACAACCCGACGCCAAGGGGGCTCGGCATAAGGTGGCCGCCTCTATACAGTGTTTTGTTTCGCAATATCACAGACGGCTCTATACGCTATCTTTCAAAGAGGGCTAAGTTGAGGCTAATGTTGAGTGCTCAGTTTCTGCGGATCTGATAAGACCAGTCTTCAAGGTACACCTGTCGGGCTCGACGAATAATTTCCAATCGTCTAAAGTTAGTAGGATATGACATGACATGGATGTGTTGATGTAGATCAAATACAGGGATGCTAAGTGGCCGTAATTCACCACGCAGTTAGACTAAATAAACTAGCCATAATATAAAACGGGGGGCAGATAACATCAAAAAATGTCATTAATACATGGTATTCGCTTCAACGCTTATAGTAATTACAGTACCAGCTAGATCACAAGCACATGTTCACCTAGTGATCGAAACATATCCCACCAATCCCCATTATGCCGCGGTGACTTCCATAAATCTTCCAACGCTGCGCGAACCAACAGCACGGAGTTGAAGCGCAAATATTTGTATATAGAATCAAGTCTCTCCAAGACAAATGTCTGCTGATCTTGCAGGAACGTATGGGCGCCCATGACGTATAATGGAAATATTATACAGTTGTGGGCTTTTGAAAGAGGCGAGATATTTCTGATGCATTCTACACACGACTGGACATGCTGTTGTACCAAAGAATGCCTTGGCGGAAGGCCACATATTGCTCGGTAGAGGTAGACGAGGGCACTATGTTGAAAGGCACGTGTGAACGAATCGGCCTGCATCCTTGGTTCAAGCGTCGATTCTTGTACGGTGTAGGTATTGGGATTTTCGATATGGTCGAAATTGAGAATCTGGAATGACGGCTGTAGACACCGCTCAAAATCTCGCACGACTTCCACTGAAAGTGTCTCCGGGTCTCCCCTGATTTGCTGGCGATATAATGACATTTCTGTCATTATCCTAAACACCGATGCTAGTGTTGTGCCGTCGTATGTTTCTTGGTCCCACCACACCGTTCCGTGCTCTATCTGTGTCCAGATTTCAGCGGGAAAGCAAGGAGACCGATCATCTAGGAGAGCCTTTGTCAGGTCCGTAGATGCGAATTCTGATAGTAGCATAGTTGTATCCTTTTGGCCTATTTTGATAAGAGCAGTGAATCCTCCGAGATGATCAACAATTGCTTGGACGCCCACGTGGTGACTTGCCGTCGAAGCATATTGATGATCACATTCAATAAAGCCGTCCAAAAAGTACAGCAGGAAGACTGCGACAAGAAGAGGCGAAAGTGATGCCTGATTGCAGTTATTATTTCGAAGCTGCTCCCTGACTGAAGCTAGACAGCTCATTCTTTTATCAAACTGTGCGCTCACCGTGCTATTCCCAGCCTCATCTCGTAGTGTACGATGCGCCTCAGCCAATTCACATACAACCAGAAGTACCGGTTGGCATTCCATGGCTAGAGGGATGGGTGGAGGGCAAGGATGAGCCGCGGTGGTGAAAAGAGGCCACACAGCGAATTGGAAATATTCAAGGGCCTTACGATGCCTATTGCCCAAGGTATTGTCTTTCAAGTGCATGTTGAGGCCCGAAAACGGGGATTGATGCAGGGTCAGGCTTTGTGTTGGTAGAGTCTTTTTCCACCTGATCAAAAGCTTGTCATAACAGCACTTTGCCTCAGACGAGATACATCTCTGGCATAAGGGCTTTCCCAGATCACATTTCACCCGGCGTTGTTTGCATGGCCAACACGAGCCTTGAACCGTACGCTCACGCTTTGGCGGCATAGTTGTAGAGTTGTCATTGCGGGACAATATGAAGGAAGTTGAAAGAAAATGAGACTAAATATTGGGAACGTGGGAAGGTATTGGCCAAGATAACCGAAGCGGATACCCGTGGACGGGAAATTGATAAGAACTGCGGGGATATCACATGATTACGTCATATATTTACAGCACGTGGATGGCACGTGCATTATGGTTATCTGGGGATATCTGGAACTTCCAAGGTTGTTTTCTTTGTCCCCTTGGACAAAAAAGAGAAAATTAAAGAGAAAAACTGCTAATAATCAATAATCACGGATTATCCAATATGCAGGCTACTCAATATCATCCTCAACCGCTAGCTGCACTACTAGACTCTAGTAAAACAAGTGGGGCACTTGGTTTTCTAGTAGGAGTCTATATACTCCAGGCAAACAGGATCTGCCCCGCTGGTATTCAAACAGCTCGTCACTCAATATAAGTATCTGAACTATGGGTTCTCCTTGCCGGTTAAATCTTGGAAATCTGAGGACAATACATCGTGCGTTTCATCGGTGGAATCATCTCTGTTTTCCCTCAGGCTCTGTCAATTAAACACATCCAATAACCCTTTCGTATATTCAAAAGAAATAACAAGAGCATGTAGAAAGCGCGGAATCCAGTACGTGGGATATGGTGGCGTTTCGGGGAGATAAAAAGGTGCGGAGTTACGATTTGGCCCACACTAACTAGTTGACCTGAACAATCATCACTTGAACTGCATTGGCAATTGACTAAAATTAAAGGATCGACAAACAGCAAAAACCACCGATGAAGTATCGACCAATGGGTAATTTTTGCATCAAGATTGAGCTAGGATATGGGCCAGATGACCAAAGTAAAAGATCGAGCTGGCTTAGTTGTATTGTTGCCATGTTAGGAAAGTCCAAACCTGGAGGGCGAGTGCGCTCACATCGCTATGTTTGATACCGAGGATGGATGCTTCAAATAAAGCCAGCTACCTTGTCTATGAATAAAAGGATGCATATCTATAATGTCAATTGAATAGCCTGTTTCTAACAGAGCACTTTTGTCAGGTCATTGACTATGGCGACCTGTGATTTCAACCACCGTCATTTGTTTTCGGGCGATGGATCAACGATATTGAGTGTAGTGATGAACTTGCTGGTTTATAGGCCTTCCACAGCCCGCTCATAGGTTAACTCAATAATCAAAAGAGGCAGCACATAGTAAATTAAAAATAATATCCACAAGGATTCCACTATGCCCCGAAGGGCGAAATAAATACTCCGCGGTTGTATGCCTTCGGTTCATTATAACCCCACTTTTACGGAAGAAGCGTACCGCCTTCTGTTTGGGGTAGAGTGGTTATGCTGTGGCATAACCAGACCGCCTATCAGTTTGGTCCGACGTTAATTAGTTCGCGTCGCGTGACGCGCATATCGATCGATTTACTGCCAGGCTGCTCTTCTTCTAGGTTGTCTCGTACCACATACAATGCAACAATGGCCGACAACGTTCTTACTTCCAGTGCTCAGGTCGGCGCCGAAGCTATCAATGTTCGCGCCGAATTGAAAACATGGGAGAAAGCTTTCTCATCAGCCAATGGGGGCCGCAAAGCCGGACGGGATGATATCAAACAAAACTCCGATATTGGTATGTCAAGATTCGTGATATTGATTTAAAATGAGATAGATTACTAACTGGACATCGTTGATTTATTAGCGGCTAAATACAAGGAATACAGTCGACTCAAGGCCCTTGAAGCATCCCTAAGCAAGCGCGAAAATAGTCGACAGGAGCCATATGAAAGTCACTCTAAAAAGCGGAAACATGCATCCCCCCTGGTCAGGACAGTGCATATCTTCAAGTCACACCCCGCAAATCGTCTAGAGGACTCTTTGCGACTCCGTCCAACAATCGCTCCAAGCACCACCCTGCGCAGCTCGATCCGTATGACTCGCCGTCGACTCTTCGCAGACTCTTTAGTCCCAGTACACACCGGCAAGGATTGCCAGCACCATCGCCATTGAAGGCCGCAATTGGTCCCACGCCTCAACGGGATGGAAAGACATTGGGTCTGTTCGACATGCTATCCGAATCTGGTGGCAGTGGTGGAACGCCCTCCACAGCAAGGAAAACGAATAACCTAGCCGCCTCGTTCCGAACGCCATCCAAGAAAAGGCCCGTGAACACTATGCCCGAGGTTCCGGAAGAAGAGCCTCAACAGGAGACGCCTAGACTTGCGCGAACTCCTGCGTCTGAGACTAAGCAGTTCTATCTTGCAAATCTGTTCGCAACACCGACTACGATGCGTTATGCCGCAATGGTAGAAGCGGATGATAATGTAGATGCACAGAAGATAAATCCGCTAAACTTGGCCCCTGAAATATCACCCCAAGAAGCGCAATCTGGGACGCCGTCTTTCCTCCGTCGCTCCAACCCTGGTCGCTATCCTCCACCTAGCGCAAAGCATGATGGTCCAGGACTTAGTCCTATCGTTTCGCGCAAGCCGCAAAGATTCGCCAGCAAGGGGCTAACACATTTGGTCCAAGGCCTGCGGGACATGGAGGAAGATCGCATGGATGACGACTGGGATGTGATGCGCGAGATGGAGGAAGAGGCAGAGGCGAAAGAAGCTGCCAAGCTCCAGGTTGAGGACAGTCAAGGACCAGATGTGAACCGGAAGTACAAGAAGAAGGGCCAGAAGCGGACGACACGAAGAGTGATTATGAGACCGGTCATCCATCAACCGAAGCCGAAATCAACCCCAGCGCCTGCAACGGAGGAGGACTGGGAAGCCGAGGATGATGTCGTAGCAGTTCCTGAGACGCAGCAGCCACCTCCTGCTAGTGACGGCTGGGATGACGTCCCGAGTGACATTGAGCGAGCGGGCGAGGCCGCTTCCCTTCATACCGTGTCGGAGCCCGAGCTTGATACCGAGGCTGAATTAGATCCCGACTCGGACGATGATCCCGAGTTTGGAGAACAGCCAAAGCCTGTTGCCAGACCGAAGAGTTTCTCGGAGAGAATCAAGGAAGCTGTTTCATCCTCTGCCGCGAAATCACAGGAACAAGAACCCATGGGCAAACCTCCGAAGAAGCCTTCCGAGACTGCCGAAGCAAAGAAACCTCGTGCCCGGAAGATCAACCCCCAAGCTCATGCAAATTATCGATCAATAAGCATCAACAGAGGAGGTTCCTCGCGGGGTAGAGGGCGTTTCCGCCGGAAGTAAGAACGGGGCAGCTCTGCTTGCTTTTGATGAAGTGACGACTACATTCATATGTTTATTTAGCATCCATAGCACCTTCAATTTCAGATATCCATAGCCCACTCCACCTGTCCAGACCCGAGAATTATATACTTAAACAGTGGAATAGTCGATTCCGCAGTCCCGAGCAATAGTCCCTGTTCAACGAAGCAGATCCAAGCAACAAGAAATTCTACTGTTAGTGAAGAAAATGGCCGCTATACCCGTCCAAACAAGGAAATAGATAGGCATTGACAAAATTAGAGGTGCAGCGTGTAACCTTACAACAATACTTGTGTTACCCAACAGGTACAAGCTTATAATGACAGCATATTTGGTTAAGTTCAATTTCCACGGCCTAGGGATAGGTGTTCCCCTACAGCAATATACGAAAGGCCTGTTGTCAATCCACCTGTCTAATGTAAGATGGTACTCTCCGATCAGATATGCATCTTGGACAAGAGGAGAAAAAGGAGAAAAAGGAGACAGATTTCATTCTCACACACCGTAATATATCCCACGTCTTAAACGTGTTTCACAGGCGTTTGGCAAGAGAAGAGCCTTAGAGTTATGCTTTCAAGGGTTTTATATCCAACCTGCGACGCCGGGCCACCGAGGCCGTTGCTGTAAGACATGGTGCGAGTGCGTGTAAGGTGTAACATTGGGGTTTGAAATGGCTTGGTCGCACTTCCCGCACTCGTATGGCCCGTTTGACCAGATAGCTCCGGTTTGATTGATGTTTCCTTGTACCAGTACGGGACGACTCAGTGTAAGCGCAGGTCGATGTCAACATGCTTGTTGGCAGTGTGCGTAGATTAGTAAATTTTGTCTTTCCTTTCTGTTATTACCAGCTCCTTCTCTCGTAAGAGGGGGATGAGTGGAGTGGGGGGGGTTTAACTATGCCTATGATCTAAAATTCGTGCTCAAGACTTCCAATCTGAGGTCAGATGGAAGAGGAAAAGCACAATTCCTAACACGATTTTCAACGTATAAGGACATAGACATAATCAGGGATTGACCCTCTCCCTAGACAATCATCAAAGTTGTAGATGTAGTACCTTCATATTAAGCTGCATGTCTAATATGGATTATATCGCTGTTGAGCCTGCTGCAGCCGCCTAGAGCGATCAACCGCATCTTGGGACCTGGTCCTGTATGGTCTTCGAGATCTCTGCAGCCTACTCCGATTGTGTACCGGAGTCGGTGTGCGACCCGAGCCATCAGAGTCCCTATGTGCTCCTTGAGACGCACTCCGTGGAGTATTCGAGTACTGAACATGACGATCCCAGTCTTCCAAAGAATTATATGGACTCCTCAACCATGCCTGTAACTCGTGGAGGAACAGACAGGCATTTTCGCGGCCGATGAAATCACGCAACAGCTCCTCCGCCTGTCCAGCACTGCCTTTGAGATCGACCGTGCGCAAGATAGCGATGACATATTCCAGCAGAAATTCGGCATTGTTCGCCCTGCGATTCTCCAGCCGTTGAGGCCCAGGGCGCGAGACCTGGTGAGGTGTCCGTTCAACTTCCTCCGGTTCCGGATTCAAGAAAGAGAAGACTCGTAGCTCACGGCGGATCCACTTCCGAGCACGAGAGACAAGCTCTTCGTCACGAGCGAAGAGCTCTGGGGTCAATTCTCGGTACTGAGACAACCGATTGGATCCGACTCGCATGGAATATGTTTGGTTGCGATAGACATTGCGCCGACGCTCGAGCGGGTCATCTGGTTGTGGTCGCGCCGGGGGTGGAGGCCGACGCCCTCCTCGTGGGCCATAGCGATTGCTAGGGCGTGATCGAGTAGTGACTGCAGCTTTCGGGAATGTTGCGCTCGGGGGCGGGAGCTTGTATAGCTTCGTGCCTTGCGTGGCATTGAGGTTGTATTGCACTGCTGTCAGGTCGATTTTACCTGTTGTATTGTCAGTAGTCAAGTCTAGCCAACAGTATGTATGTCCACTGGTATTCGTACATAGGGGGCATTTGGGTTGCTGCTCAGTCCAACTGACAAGGCAGAGGAAGTCGAAGTTGGCATGTTGGCATGGCTGTGCCACACACGGCTCAGTGATAGTGTCTAAGCAAATAACACAAGGGTTTGCAGCCTCCTTCTCCTCATCCGCTACCTCTTTGAGAGTCCGCTGGAGGATTTCCTGTCGCAAATCGACATCATCCATACAGGCGACATGCCAGGGGTGGGTTGTAGGAGGTTCCGGTTTCTTCTGAGTCACGTTTGTCACGTTTATCGCACGGTCTCGGCGGCAAAACCAATTTCTCGGGAGGTCACCGCGCTTGCTTGTTTTGCGACTTCAACACTCTTTCTCTCCCAACTATGCGCTAATCTCCTCTGTCTCTCTCCTTTCTTTACCTGACAGAATGCGGTCTGCCAAAGTGGTCGTTTCGGAAAAACTCGCACGCATCGGCTCTACCAATATGTCGTACAGCACAGGAAGCGGGATTCAACGCCCACCGTATACAATCACCTCACTACGGCGTTGGTCGATTGTAAACAAGGAGTTGCCAGGTTAGCTCTCATTATAGTCCATTGCCCTTCCATGTCTCTAACAAGATTTCTCTCTTTCAGCCGTTTCTCAAATTCGCGCAATTCACGTCTACGATTTCGATAACACTTGTGAGCATATGCAAACTTGGAATAATCCGACAGTCGACCTCTAACATCAGCGTTCGCAGTATTTCTAAGTCCCCTACCAAATCCACAATTATGGCATGGCTCCTCAATCGGTTTCCTTCAGACCAATGATAGTTTCGCAACTGGAGGATGGTGGCACGACCCCAACATTCTCGCCGCTACAGGGAAAGGCATCGAGATAGAAGAGCCTCGCAAATGGGAAGGCTGGTGGAATGAGCAAATTGTGTGTCATCTATTATACATTGCATCTTTGGGGCGTTTCAACTGACTTTTTGCAGCTTAGTTTAGTTAGGAATAGCATGGAGCAGAAAGATGCGCTCACGGTGTTGCTGACCGGTCGAAGTGAGGCCGGCTTCTCAGAGACCATCAAGCGGATGGTCGCCAGTCAAAATCTTGAATTCGATCTCATTGGTCTCAAGCCCGAAGTTGGTCCAAATGGTCAACGGTTTGCGACAACAATGAACTTCAAACAGAACTTCCTTGAGGATCTTGTTTTTACTTACGAGCAGGCTGCGGAAATCCGCGTCTACGAGGACCGTGTCAGGCAGTAAGTTCCCCGCCACCGCCAATCTAATTAGAGAGTGAGCATTTCAGGGTGTTAATCTTCTACTAGTGTGAAAGGGTTCCGAGACTTCTTTGAGGGTCTGAACAGAGACCTTCAAAGTGGACCTTCTACTGAACGGATGCCCATCCTTGCCGAAGTCATCCAGGTAACTGAGGGCTGCACATACCTTGATCCCGTAATTGAGACTGCTGAGGTGCAGCGCATGGTCAATGCCCACAACCTCACACTGCGCAACCCTGCCTTGAACGTAACCAAGAGCCGTTGTGGACGGATGTATATCAAGCGAGTTGTGTTCTACACGGGATATCTGGTTTCCCCAGAGATTTCAAACAGCATGACGCAGAATTTGCTGGCACCATTACTCCCCCAGGGCTTGCTGAATCAAATGACCTGAAGTACATGGCTAACAGCATCCTAATTACCCCACGCCCAGCGCCCCGTTCAATCCTCGACAAGGTCGGAGGCATGGGCAAGAAACTAAAGTGGCAGGTTACCGGAACCGGAAACCTGGAGAACAAGATATGGGCGGCCCGCGTGGCGCCTATCCCAGCGACAGAAGCGTATCACACTGAGAACCCACTGCCAATTGTAGTACTGGCTGTTCGGAAAGGCGCTCGTCTCATCGATGCAGGGAAGATCCAAAACTGGCACCCCATTCCGGCGGACAGGGCCATGACGTTTGAGAGTGTGGTCGGCGAGAAGGTTGTCCTACGAGTTGAAGACACCGGAGAACATCGTCAAGGCGAGCAACCCCTGAACAGGAGTCAAAAGAGACGTTTCCAGCAGGAGGACGAAAATGTCGTCTGGCCACCCAGTCAAAACACTGGATTTGAGGGCCCATCTCAAGGCCGCGGCAACTACCCCTCTCAGCGTGGCGGAGGTGATGGACGTCACCAATATGATGATAATCCGCGAGGAAGAGGGGCTCATCGTGGTCGTGGCCGTGGTGCTGGACGTGGGCGCGGTAACAACAGCCGAGGCCGTGGCCGAGGTCGTGGTCGGGGTGAATACTACCAGTACAGGTCACTGGATGACCATAGCAATGGACATGATGGCGCATATGACGGCAAGGGTGGACAAAATGGTGGCGGAGGCGGAAGAGGGGGTTACTCCATGGACTATTGATATTCAACCTGTATTCGGGCACCCCAAAGCCGGAGTTTCGGAAGGCAGATCCACAGCCTGGTCTGCAGTATTATCCGTAACTTTACGATTCTTTCTTATGTCCAAGTTGGGCTCGTCTTGTTTTGAAAACTTGTAGTCTCTAATGGAAATGATTACAGAGAGGTAACGACTTTGAGGCCACTGGGAAATATATTCTAATCCACGGAGATCTCTACCTCGCTACAGAGGAGCAAGGAGAAGAAGCAAGATTGCCATAGGCTCCTATTCTACATACTACCACAGAGCAAACTGCCCTTATATGCTTCATGGTGACAAGGAGAGACCTTGCTGCCTCGCTGCCACGGTGCATCACATTCGAACTGATCGATCCTAAACTTCAACTATGAGGTCTTCGAAGACTTGACATGGAAGTCTGCCAGAACAGCATCAGAAATCTTCAGAGCCATAGCGTAGAAGACAGTCATGACATGGGAAGACACTTGAGTCGGCGGGATCGAGCCATCGACCACGCGAAGGCCCTCAACATCATACACTCGAGCCTCAGAATCAACAACTCCACCAAGCTCCTTTGCCATCATCGAGCAGGTGCCCACAGCGTGCCAGTTGGCGCGGAAATTATGCTTGACATAATCCACCCACTGGTCCAAGTCGG